AAAAAAAAAAAAAAAAAAAAAAAAGCCACATGACATGAGTTCCTTGCAGTGATGACTCTCCATGTTAAGGATGTTATTTTGAAGATATTCACCTTAGGGTGGATGCATGCTGATAATAGATTGTATCTAATTCAAGTACTGGATTTCATTTGTATCTCATTTATAGTTAGAGATCTAATCGTTAAAGCATAATTAAGTTAATGTATTTTGTTAGTTTTCATTGGTTGCTATATAAATTCTCTCATTTGCAGTTTGTATTGTTCATGATGAACCATTTTCTTTTATGAAATTCATGAGCAGGGTGTTATAGACAAATGCATAGCTTAATACCATTTGCACACTTATTAAATTCATGATGAACCATTTGCCTCCATGAAATTCATGAGTGGGAATAAGTACACACAGCAACCGTCCAAACTCATTAGCTTAATGCCTAAAAGATGATATCAAAAGTTCAAAATCAATATATGATAACTCTCTTCAAAGTTGATTTCCATATGTCTATTACACCATAACTATTATAACTAAATTTGTAAATTTAAGCAACAAGGTAAAACAAAAAAATATTATTCTCCGTTTTGCTTCCATTTTGCAGTTGAGCTCTTGGTCATCCTTTTCCCTCAAACTTAATTCTTGGCATATTGTGCTTCCCATAACCTCTATCCAAATAGCGATATTAGGCACCCTAAATATAAGAACAGAAAAATGAAACATAAAAATTATAAAATAGAGGTGAATAAAAGCAAACAAGTGTTTCAGGAAATATATGTATTACCTGAAAACGATAAACAATTACAATCTGCCTTGGTCTCGTTTTCCACCTTTATCCTCAATGCATTGTCATATTGATCCACAAATTGTTTTAAAGTAGTTTTTGAGTTTACATGACCATCAAAAAATGCATTCATACTCTCACTACGTTGTGTTGTAGACATTCCCACCCAAAAACTATTTTTCACAAATGCTGGCACCCAATGATGTCTCTCAATATATAGGCTATTCAACCAATCATTTTGCAACTTATATTTCTCAATCATCTTGGCCCGTCCTTCTTCAAACTCATCCTGATTCAATGAGTCATAAACAATGTTGTTCAAGGCAAAGCTAATGAATTGATATTCCTTATATCCACTTAACTTTTGAGGAATTTTATTCATGATATGCCACAAGCATAAACGATGTCTAGTATTAGGAAAGACAATCGCAATTGCTTTTTTCATGGCTTTGTCTTGATCTGTAATTATTCCCTTTGGAGCACAACCATATATACAAGCAAGCCAAGACTTAAACAACCAAATAAATGTGTTGGCATCTTCACTTGAGATCAACCCACATCCTAGCAAAATCAATTGACCATGGTGATTGACCCCCACAAATGGAGCAAATGGCATGTTATACTTATTAGTCAAGTATGTGGTGTCAAATGTAACAACATCGCCGAATACTTCATACGCCGCCCTACTCCTTGCATCTGCCCAAAACACATTTCTTAAACGACCATCTTGATCTAAATCAATACCATAGAAGAAATTTGTGTTCTTAGATTGCATATTCAAAAAATAATTTTGAATTGCAGTGGCATCTCCTTCCCCAAGCTGTAATTGCCTAACCTTTTCAATGTAGTTTCTACAATCCTTTTCTAAAAATGGCATATTCTCATGCCCCCCCCACTTCCACCACAACTGAATTATAACTCTTGTTCAGCCTTATCCCAGCTTTATCATTCATTTCAAGCGAGTTGACTCGCCAGCTTCCACTCAAGCATAAACCTACCCTAATTTGAGCCTTGCAATTATTCTTTATACTTGGATGTGGCTTTAGGGTATTATTTGAATTACTTTTGCAGGTCCCTGAACAAGCACATGCAAGAGTAATATATCTCAACTCCCCATCATCTCCTTTTGTTGATGACCTCTTTATCACTGGGAAGCCAGATTGTTTCCCATATTCTCTATAATATTGAATTAACTCATAAATATTGTCAAACACCATTCCAACCTTCGGCTCTTGTATTTTTTTTCTTCCACATCTGTTCTATTGTCCATGACAATCTCATCATCTCCATTATTTTCAATTTTAATCCCATCAGATTCCAGTTCAACAACTTCGTCTTCATCAATAATTTCTGAACTTGCAGAAATATTTGAATATTCTTCCATTCCTACATCATATAGGACATGAGCTTATGATACATAAGCATATAATACCAAAATTTCAACACTACAGTCAATCAATTCATCTTATGATACTACAGCATATAATAAACAAATTAACGCATCAAAAACATTAAACTACAAAAAGAAAAAGAAAGTAATAACTCGATGGTATGCTAACCAAAAAACCAAAGAAGAGAGAACCAAAGAAGAGAGAGTTGAGCCTGTGATTCAAATCGTTGAACACCCAAATCATAAATACAACCAGGAGTGGTAGTTATGCTACCATGATTCAAGTTATTACAGGTTCATATTCTTACATGGTGAAGGAGACCATGTTTAACTAGTAAAAAAAAAACTTCATTTGAATATTGATTGAAACAAATAAATAAACGATTCAGCAATAGCGTATGAGAAGAAAGCATTCATACAAAAAAAAAAAAAAGGTAAGCTAAACAGAAAAAGAATGTTATAACGAAGGTTTACTAACCTAAAACCGTGGAGGAAGGAGTAAAGCAGAGGAACGGAGTCAGAAGTCTGGCGGAGTGGTGGCAGAAGCAAGACGAAGCACCTGCGATGGGGAGGAGAGGAAGGAGGGAGTGAGGGAATTAGGGGAGGCAGAGAGACGTACGTGAAAAGTGGTCTCTAATTCAGTAGGGTTTAGTTTTATTTTATTTTTTTAAAATTTTGGGTGAGATGGGCCAAGAAGACCAGAACAAAAAGACTAAACAACTACAACTCTAGGCCTAGCCAAGCTGCAAACATCAGCAACAAGGCTATTACAAACACAAGGAGGCGCCAACTCAAACCGATGAAAGCCAGGAACCATATCATGACTCATGTGAGCCAAAACATTAGCAACAGAGTTTTGTTCACGAAACACATGAGTGAGAGAACAAAACCAATCCTGCTGCATCTTCAAATTGCAACAATTTATCAAGCTAAAAAGAGGATGAGTGGAAGCAATGGGAC